CCTGCACTTCAGTCTTTTTTATTTTTCTCTCACCAAGGGAAATGCGCCTCAGACATTCGAGTCGTCGCGAGAAGCAGACAGAGGACGAGGGGGAAGAGGTGGGTGAGAGGTTGAGGGGTGGTTCAAGGGGGAAAGGATGAGGTTGAACCTGACCTTTGGTGTCTAGGCTCGAGAGGACGAGAGGAAAGACTTCACCTTACTCGGACTCTTCTCTCATTAAGTGGTACAATTAATATTCAGTAGTCTCAGTATTTTCCTCCAGAATTCATTTCTTTAATTAACATTTGGAACATCCTTAAGCGATTTATTTGGAATTTCCAAAAGTGAGAAGGATTGAGAGATATTTCTGGTTTCAGGTGACAACTCTTACAGTTCTGGAACACCTATAAATAATATAATAATCAAGTTGAGGTGAGCTTGAGTGACGAGTCAAATAGAATCCAATAAAAATTCTGGAAATAGTATCACCTCAAATTTGGTAAACGACAGGAATAATTTAATTGTAAATTTATTAACAATTGATAAAAAATAAGTTTCCGAAGAATATCCCAGGATCTAAAGGAGATGGCAAACTTTTGATTAATTTATGGTCTAGGTCCGCCCCAAAAAATAATCATTAAAAATTAATTGAAATATTCATTTCTCTGAGGAAAACCCATCCTTATCCTCTCGGTATTCAGGAATATGAGGAGAGAAGAGAGGATTAGCAACATGAAGGAAAATACATCGGAGAGTAGTTCTGAGGTAAAGTCTATTGTCCCTGAGATCCTTAAACCCTCATCCCCTTGCTGTCGCTATTGACGCGACGAGTGAGTGATATTATATTCAATAATTGGAGATGATGCAGAAAGAATTTATTAAGAATATCCCGATAAGTAATGATGCAATCACCTGATCTGCAGGAAAATAATTGACCTCAGACATAGGTTTGAAAAATATAGACACAGGAAAGGAAGGAAAATACAATTGTAAATAAATCTGCCACATAAAATGTCCAGGTATAATCCTTATTATTTAATATCAGGTAGACTGTAAATAAGACTTCATCATTTCATATTTATCACCTTACAAATGTATCATATAAAATTACAGTCAATTGCAAAGAGTCTTCTCGTGTTCAATCGTCTCTCATCTAGCATTTCTCCGCTCTATCTCTTTTATTCGAAACTTTTCCAACACTTTGCTGTCTCGCATTATATCGAATCGGGACATGGGATTTTTCTCCGAGGATTTTTATCCCTCGTCCTCTAAAGAAATGGAAAGAAACAAAGAAATTGGGTAGGGGATGCCCGCATCTACAGACATTTTCTGTGTATATTTTTCATCCCCCTTCCACCCATCCCCCTTCCACCCATCACCCATCACCCATCACCCACCACCCCTTTTACATCGCTCTTCGCAATCGTGTGAAACCTGGCAAGACAGATCGGCTAGATCTACTTGCGAATAAGTGGAAAAGGTCGCGTACAGTCAGGCGGCGAGAAAATTTTATGAAACATCGGGGTTTCTTTGCCCGTTGAGAATAAAAATTCAAGGGTGGAAACTAAGGGTTCAGACAGTTTTATGCAGGTGCCAGTGGAATTACGAGTGGAAAGGAATTGATGATCCTAGGCTCCATTGATAAATTTATAGAAAATATCTATAATTGCGATTGCTAGATATTTTAGGAAAAGTATATTAAAAAACACAATTTTTAAACTCTTTTCATTGAAAAATAAAGAATAATGAGAACGAAACTCAGAGAAAAAAATAAAAATGATCTTTTCCTCGAGAAATAAATTTCAATTCATGGGACTTGAATTGTTTTTCTGGAGAAAAATGTTAAAAACTCCCTTCACTCACCCCAAGATCATCCAAAAGATACCACTGATCTTGAAATATAATATTTATAAATGAGTGTTCCACTCACTCTCGAAGAAAAATAATAATTTTTACACATTTATAAGTGTTATCTTAAATCTATGGTGCTTACAATTAGTTCAACGCCGACACACAAATGGGAAGAGCATTAATTATTTTGAATTCTCGTCACATCCCTTCATTATTTGATTAACGAAGAGGCAGCTCCGACGTACGCCGATATTGGTATTTTATTTATTTA